CGTAGGAATCGACTCCGAACCCAATTACTTACTTTCTAATGATATGACTTCTTTCAGTGGTTACCTAATTGGCTCAGACATCTTCAAGGTTTAGAATAAACTTGATTTCGGAACACTACAAAGCCTCAACTTGGGTTTTTTGGGGATTTAAAAAAAAAAAAATTTGAAAAAAGAGGATTTAAATGATTAAAATTATTGGTAACCTTTGGTTTTCGTAAAACGAAGTCGGAACTTTTCTTCCATAGTATTAATCTTGGGAATCGGTTCCGGACTCGATTCTTCGCCCAGCTCTAGTTGATGGCCTCACCTTTCCCGTCACAAACCCTGCTCAGTGTTTAAACAACAAAACAAGTGGGTGCCTGAACTTCTGAAGGGAGACACTAGTTGTCCACCTTTTTTCCTCTCACTTTCTTATTTTGATCTGGCTAAATTAATTACTTCTCCCTTGCACTAAATGTGTGTGCGCCTGGAGAAAGGTGCCAGTTGTCAGCAAAGCTGTTTTTGAGCAACGGGGTGAAAAGGCAAAAAGATTTGTACAGTTAAAATTTAGTTCCATCCGAAAACACACGTTTAACCATTTCTTAATAGCATACTAAAAGGATTTTATAATATTTTAAGTCTTAATATTTCTTTTATTAGTTATTTTTTCGCATGTTGTACTTCATTGAAGGTTAAAATGTGCTAGAAATTGGGTTTTCTCTAAATATTGTTTTTACACCCTATGTTACAAAATGTAGCATGTCTTTAAAAACACTTGAGATATTTGAAACATTTAAAAATCAGCGTGTTCAGCATTGAATTGGCTACAAGAATATGCCCTTATTTTAATCAAAATTTTTGACAACTGGAACCTCTCTCCAGGCGAATACCAGTAATTTCGTCACACCGTTGCAGTCAAGATGTCACAGTCATCTCGTCACACCCAGAATTCACAAGGTTGAATGGAGTCGGTCATTTTGTAGCACAGTTGAAAATATCAAACACGCATTATGAAGGCAATCGCAAATCACGATTTTTGGGGGAGGGGGGCAGCTGTGCGAGTCGTCCTGCCTACCTGATCAGCTACACCATTCATAAATACTTGTTGAATTGACAATATTGAAATCAATCGAGTCCAATCAACAAATTTTTGGGTATTATTGATAAAAGGAGTGATTGGCAAGATCATATTATTAGTTCTGTTAAAAATAAATTTAGGAGAGATAGGCCTATGTAAGCGAAGTCATCTCGTCACACAAAATTGGGTTGTGACGAGATGACCGTGTGACGAAATGACTACCCTCCAGGCACACACACACACATGATCATTATCGCACCAATGTGCTTCTCTTTACTCAGATTACAAAACAACAACCAAAACCAAACGTTGCAGTCAAGGACAATAATTTATTTGAGTTCTTGGGGTGTACATCGTCAAGGAGCAGAGTTACAGTTCAGATCACAATAATTTTGGCATCACAACAGTTCTAGAGAAACCCAAACAAAGTTCACAATATCACAAGATTTGAAAGAAAAAAAGTAAAATTCCCGCCTCACTGCTTCAGTAATTTCTCCTTTTTTTCCTCGTAAGTCTCATTTAGCTTATGCATTTTTTGCCACATATTATTCATGAATACCACACAACAACAGATAGCCAGGGCACACCAGTGTACAAAAGTATACTGACGTGTGAATTAACTGATTCAGCCCGCAGCTCCACTCACAGCGGCCGA